TGATAGATAGATAGATAGATAGATAGATAGATAGATAGATAGATAGATAGATAGATAGATAGATAGATAGAAAAAACAATTTTCAATAATTCCATCATTGTTTCATTCAATACATCAATTATATTTTAATTAAATAATCAGTGCTTGGATACTGGAAGTCTTTTGCTTTCCGGGTCAGCTCTGCTTGGGGGCCGAAGGGTTTATTAAATATTTCCCACAGTGTTTTCTGTAATACTCACCCAATCCACCAATTCTGGAATTAAATGTTGATACCAGTTTATGAAATAATTCCCAAAATAAACCATACGTCTTTAATCCACATGTTTGAATTAATTAATAGAGTCTCTTTGCTCTGTTGCCGTCTTGTGCTCACACCGAACAGCAGTAACTGTGGCTGAATCAAAGTGATTATGTTGTTTCGGAAGCCGGCGTGAGGCTAAGATGCTTAAAACGCTTCCGAAGACGGTTTCAAAGGAATTCCCTGGAGAACTGCAGCTGTGCGTCTCTAGAGCAGGCCAGGTCTGAACTGGTGGGTCATGACACAGAAAGGTAACAGGTTTCTTACAGAAGTACACTGCTTGCTCTTAGTCTAGATTATGTTGATACTGGGGATAAAAAGTGTTTTTGAAAAAGTGAAGAGCATCACGGAGCATCCATTCCAACACAAACCACTCAAGAACATGTCCAGGTTATATTTCATCCCAAAATCAACAGGGGAAGAAATTAGAAGAAAAAAAAAAAAAGAGAAAAATAAATTACATTTTCCTTGAAGAAAATAAAGAACCATAGGACCATTCAGGTTCAATACTTCTATGAAAATGAAATACATTTTCTCCCTCAATTGAGAATAAATTAAATATAAAAAAAAAAAAATCAAGTTCTTTACAAAACTGGAATACATATATAGAGGCTATAGAAAAAAAAAAGAAAAAAAAAATCACATTTTCTTGTTTTGCAGGCTGAAATGATGGACACCATTTTTGTTTTATCCAGCTGTATTTACTAAGTGCAACTTATAACATCCAAGTGAAATATAACAAACATGTCAGAGAAAATAAAAATAAAAAATAGAATCACCAAGTTTGAAAAAGGCCCCTTGTGTCAGTATTTTGCTGAACCACCTTTTGCTTTAATAACAGCATTTAATCTGTTGGGATATGTCTCTACTAACTTTGCAGTATTTGCTCACTCTTCTTTGCAGAACTGCTTAAGTTTAGTTCAATTTGATGGTGAGCGTTTGTGGACTGCAGTCTTCAAGTCATTCCACAGATTTTCAGTGGGGTTTAAGTCTGGGCTCTGACTAGGCCATGCAAGGACATGCACCGATTTCTCCTCTTTGTGTTCAGTTTTGCTATATGCGTTGGGTCATTGTCATGTTGGAAGGTAAACCTTCTTCCCATTGACAACTTTCTGGCAGAGGGCAGCAGATTTTCCTCAAGAATTTGACCGTATTTTGCATCCATGTTTCCTTCTCTCCTGACAAGTGCTCCAGTCCCTGCTGCAGAGAAACGCCTCATAACAGGACATTACCACCTCCATGCTTTACTGGAGGAATGCTGTTATTTGACTGCTGAGCTGTTTTGGATTTCCACCAAACATATTGTTTGCTGTTGAGGCCAAATAATTCAAGTCTTTAGTCTCATCTGCCTCAGAATCTTCAAGGTGTGTTTTGGCAAAGCTCAGTCATGACTGTATGTGGCCTTTCTTGAGGAGTGGATTTTCTCTTGCAAGCCTCCCATACAAGCCACATTTGTGTAGAATTTGTGATGTTGTTGTCACATGCACACAATGACCACTCTTTGTCATAAATTCCTGCAGCTGCTTCAGAGTTGCTGTAGGTCTCTTGGTTGCCTCTCTGACCAGTTTCCTCCGGCTCTTTCATCCAGTTTGGAGCGACGTCCTGCTCCAGGGAGGGTCTGTGTTGTACCAGATATCTTCAACTTCTTAATGACTTCACTGCGCTTCTAGGCATTGATAAAGCCTTTGAATATTTTTTGTATCCATCTCCTGACGTGTGCGGTGTGCCTGTCCACAACTTTTTCCTTGAGATCGTTTGGAAGTGCTTTGCCACCCATAGTTGATTGTTTGTTTCAGTTAAGGACTGAAATGCTCCAGGAAAGCTCTTTTCATGCTGAGCTAATCAAAATGACCACAGCTGATCACAGTGAAAGTCAAATTCAAAGTCTTGTGTGTCATTGAGAAGGTGATTAGCTACACCTGATTGAGTTTACAAGTCATTTTTAGGAGGGGGTGATCCTTTTTCCAACTCAGTGATTCTGTTTTTTTATTTTTTTCTGACATATTGGTGTTTATATCTTTAATTTGGATGTAAATACAGCTGGATAAAACAAGAACTGTGTATCTTCATTTCAGGCTGCAAAAAAACCCCAAAATGTGATTATTTTAAAGGGGGTAATTATTTTCTATACCCACTGTACATGTATTTTCTTTGATAAAATACCTTTGGGAATTATGGTTAAAACATCCAGATGCATTACAGTAATGAGAACTTGAGGGGAAAATATGCTTAATTTGCATAAAAATTGTTTTAAAATTCTTATTCTTATAACTGTAATGCAACAAATATAAATATATTGAAAATTAAACTTGTGAGATTGACCTAATGAAGCATATCTGTTTCTACTCACACCTTCAGTTTACTGAAATACACTCACAAAGAGAAACAGCCTTGAGAAACATCATTCCCTTTGAACATAATACACAGTCCCCCGTTACAGTTCACTCACACACCTCCCTTTGAGTTGGAGTCACGACCGACCCCGAGCTGCTGCAATGCAGCTTCCAGACCTGTTCTCCAATCACATCTGAGCGCAAGGCAAACTTCAGCCCGCCGTCTGAAACGTGTGTATGTGTGAGTGTGACTTCACACGCTTTCAGAGGCGCGGCCCTGATGTTGTGGGGGCTTCCCTCGCTCTGGGGGGAATATAGCACAGTCTGTTTTGAAATATGTGATCAGTGGGCCGTGTCCTCACGCAGGCGTGCAGACCCATGCCATTATTAACTCATTAGGATTGGCGACAGGACACTGGCTTCATTCTGCTAGTGAATACAACGGCCATATTGCACATTTGCTTCTCGAGCAGTGCTGTAAAATGAGCTGTTACATCTTCTAATGTATTAAACACAGAATAACAGATACGGGAATACAATGAGGAAACTTCCTTGATTGCAATCTGTTCATTAAAAGCAACATGAAAGACATCAGCAACCCAAATTACTTCAGTTATGTGATGTATTTCAGAGGGAAACAGAATATTCATGTAGGATGCTGCTTGATTTTTACCATCAGGAATTGATGTGAAGGTGTAAAGTGTGTGTTTCTTATCAGAATTGAGCTGAAAGTGAGTTTGCGGTGGATTTATATTTACAGTTATGCATTTGGTAGGCACTTTTATCCAAGTAACTTACATTGCATTCAAGTTTTATAAATATTTCTATCAGGCCTTGCATTCCCTGGAATCAAAACCATGACCCTTGGCATTTTTAGCAACATGTGCTACTGTTTGAGCTACAGGAGTGATGCAGTATTGTGGGAAAACTAGAACCAAAAATAAAATTTGCTGGAAATTTTCTCACCCTCAGGCCGTCCATGATGTAGATGAGTTTGTTTCTTCATCAGAATGAGAGTCCAAACAGCTGATAAAAACATCACAATAATCCACAAGCAATCCACACCACTCCATCAGTTAGTCAGTCCATCAATTAACGTCTTGTGAAGCAAAAAGCTGGATGTTTTTTGAGAAACAAATTCATCATTAAGAC